ATTGTGAGCATGTAAAAGTATTTGATACTAGTAAAGAGGCTATGCATGATTATTGTGACGTTAGTGATCAAATGCTCTTTCATGAGCTTATGTATGACTCTTTCTGTGACACTTTGAGCAATTGTTTAGAATCCTTTGATATTGAGAATATGATAGCATCACTGATAAGGATAGAGTTTTGCAAGCTCCGAGAAGGCCATTTACAAGATCTCAAGCTAAAGAATTGCAGGCTAAGGTTGCTGGACTTCAATGGCAAATAAAGAAGCTTCTAACTATAGAAGAAGTGCTCAAGCCCAAAGGAGAAGAATTGTCTAAGTTTTACAATTATTTGGTGGCTCAAATTGAAGTCCAAGAGGAGGAAGATTGGGTCACCCAAATCAGCCCTTGAAGTCCACCAAATGGGCTCAAAATGAGCTTAAAAGAGGTCCAAAAGGAGGTGTTACAAAAGGAGCCCAATTGGAGTCCAAACCAATGACCCAAACTAGTTGTTTTAAGGCTCAAATCTGCCCCAAAGGGTCTTGGCCGCCCCCCACCTAGTTTTAATGACTTTTCTTACTCTTTAGCAACCACCCTACCTAATTGTAATGACTTTGTATGACTAAACAACCACCCTACCTAATTTTAAGGACTTTTTATGCCTTAGTACTCCTATAAATAGGGAGTTCTTCTCATTCATAAGACACTACATTATTGATTAAGTATATCATACTTTGAGAGTTCTTTTGAACCTTTGTTACTTGTGCTTTGAGATTTATCTTTCAACCTTTACGAGTTCATAGTTCAAGGTAGTAAGATTACTTCTCTTTTATGATATCTTTGATTTCTTTGTGGTATTCTTAGAAGGCGATTAATACTAGTTATTAATTGTTGTCTCAAGTTACTCGTAAAGCGGTCAAGACTCGTAAAGCACTTCACGTTCCACCAAACGCCTTCGGTTCCAGGATCTTAACCTTGGAACGTTCTTCACTGCCCTCGCCAGAACTAGCCAAAGCCCTTCACAGAACAACAATTTCCAGATTAAGAGTTTCATTTTCGTTTTTTAGATCTTCAACCTGAACATTCGTAGCCTCACAAGTTTGTTGAACAGTATCATGAAACTAATTCAACCATGCCTTTAGAAGACACATCTTAGTAATTAGATCTTCCAAATCCAAAGGATCGTTAGTCACACTGATCAGTGCCTCCAACTTCTGCACACGAACACGTAAGTCTGAAGTGGAGTTTCCTCCGGCCATGGTCCCGAATCGCGAGCAAAGCTCTGATAACAGTTTTTACAGGGCCAATTTTTTGCAAATGACACTGCACGGCAGTAGCCTGACACTCAAGCCACTCAGCCTTACTTTTTACCTCACAATTTAGGACTTAGAATATTTTTAGACTTGTAAAATGAAAGCAACACATAAAATTAAACACCCAGCCTTTTATTATTCTCGTAGAATATACAAATGAACTCAATTGGAAGGCTCACATTTGCTAACTTGCTTTAGCCAACGAAATACAAAACACATAAAGGGGCTGCCAATGGTAGGTTACAAGTGGAGCAGTCACAAAGGGGCAGTTACAAGGGTGTGCCTGGCATATACCAAGCCTATAAACATGCACAAAACACTTAGCCACTATCTGAAGAACTTCCCACGAAATGAGCCTATCTTCAGTGTTACACCCCATATTTTTGTACGTGAAGGTACGCCATAAGTAAATTGATGGAAGCTCGGAAAATGAGATGTTACATCTTGCATTTTCGTATATTAAAGTTTCGTCATAAGTTAATCGATGTAAGTTTGGGAATGAGATTATTTTGGAGATTATAAGCATTATGTTATTTCAAACAAGTGATAAGTAAATTCGTGAAGGTAAAAAAAATCGAAGAAAATGAATTTCGTCGAAGTTTGTCATTTTGGGATAAAATACGGCCCAAGATAAAATACCTGGTATTTATGGACTAGTATCATACAAGGTACCACATGACCATGATAGTAAGGTGTACAAAGTGTGTTAAAAGTGAGTAGTATTTTAAGTAATTTGATATAATTCCTAATTATGTGGATTATTGGGTAATAATAATTACCTAGTTAATTAAGGAATTGATTGGGTAATTAATAACACTTGGGAAAAGATTAGCTAAATAATTAGGACATCTTGATTAGCCTAATTCGCCCCAAACGTGGCAGCAAACTTTGCCAATGTGATGACTCTTCAAGTCACTTGGTAAGGTGTCATTTTAATGGATTGGTCATCACCTTAGTGGGGCCCACACCCACTAAGGTGTAAGACCTCTCTAACTTCAAAGAGAGATGCATATTCATGAGTAATGTAAAGATTTTTCATAGCATCTTCATAATTCAACAAGATCTCATGAGTGTCTTCAAGAATTCAAACGAGAATTCTTAGTACTTTAGCAACGTGAGATTTTGCAATTTTAAGGGAATACGGTGCAATCCTTCTCAAGAATATCACACGGATTCTCCCCTATTTCGATTTACCGTTACATGCTTTGTCGTAAAAGATGTGTGTTAGAGGAATTGTCAATAGAATCGATCTAGGTATGTTAAGGATATCCCTTCTTTCCTTTTGGCATGATCTATATGACACAAACGTAACGAGCAAATGCACAACTTTCATAAATGACTCTATTCATAGAAGTATTAGAGGTGCCTATGTTCTTGAATTCCCATGTGTCTTATTATTCTATCGTCTGTTCATGGGTCTCAGAAAATACGCAAGTTGATAAAGTTTACTTCATGATATTAATCAAAGGAATAATGGTCTTATGATACTCCGAAAGATTTTATTGACGTACTTCTCATGCATTGCATTCATTTACATTGACCCATGATCAGATGGGGTTATATATGGGTATATATGTATATTATATGTATATGGTATATGGGAAAGGTTACGGCGTTATATACGCACCACCATTAGATCAGCCGGTATACATTGATGATTTTGCCCACAGGCCGAGATGATATGACGGGATGCCCTCAGAGACTTGATGTTATGAACACATGCTATGCACGACATGACATTCATACGCATATGCATGATACTATAAGGGATTTCATAATTTACAAAGTTATCCAGACTTACAGGTTGTGTCATTTATTCCATGTTTCTTCCATGTCTTTTATATACTTATTTATGTGCCTTACATACTCGGTACATTATTCGTACTGACGTCATTTTGTTGGGGACGCTGCATTCATGCCTGCAGGTATAGACAATCAGTTTGACGAGCCCTCATAGTAGACGAGGTTAGCTTTCAGCAAAGGATCGGTAAGACTCCACCTCATTCGGAGTGCAGCCGAGTCTATGAGTCATCGTGTCAGAATTTTGTTACAAACTTATGGATAGGCCGGTACCCTATCCCATTTGATGTCAAATACTCTTAGAGGCTTTGTAGACAGAGGTTTATTTTGTACAGTATGTCAGAGGCCTTGACGGCCCATATGTATTCATGTTTTAAAAAAGATAGTTCATTGATATAGTGATTTCCCACTTATAATTATACATTACGAGTTGTGGCCATGTTTGCCCAATTACCTATGATAGTATGATACGAAAGACACGTTATGTTGGTACTCAGTTGAGTAAAGGCACCGGGTGCCCGTCGCGGCCCATCGGTTTGGATCGTGATATTCAGCCTTCAAACTAACTGACACATGTGCACTGCACATGGTCTAGCTTCCACAACACATGCATAGCACACTTCTTTGTAGTCATATGTTTTGCACACTTGTTCCACAGCTTTTCCCCCACTTTGTCTTGTCTGCCTTGCCTTGTCTTTTTGGACCATGCCTCGCACATATATCTCATGACAATGCTCTTGTCACAGCCTTGCCGTCCCACTGACCTGAACGCATGCCTTTGTCAAGTGCCATGCGCCTGCCTACCTTGATCTTCCATAGCCGTCGCCCACAACCAAGGTTGCCTTGCCATCACTCAAGGCACCTTGTCCAGCTGACCTGCCCAAGTCCATGCAGTAACTTAGGCACGCTCCCAGCTCCACACGTTGCTTGTCAAAAACCACATGAACCCATGTCATGCGGCAATGTACAAGCCCTTGGCATTGGTTCTGCCCGACATCCGTCACGTCTCAACATTAGGGGCTAACACTAGGTCCCGTGGTCCATTCTAGCTCCATTTGCTGTTAAACTATGTTTTGCGAGTACCACCACAGAATTTAATCTCATTAATATGTAGTTTAACGAGGTTGATGAACTCAAGTTTTCTGCTGATAACAATCATGGTCCATCTTAGAGAATTAAGAGTTCATATAATTACGATATGGTTATAGGGAGAACCCAAAACAAAACCTGCAGGCGCCAACCTGACCATATAATCATTCAATTTCCTTTACAAAAAATTTCCAGGATAAAGCTTCGTCACTTCTTTTAATCATTTTATTGTGCAATTATTCTTATGTTATATTATCCTATTTTGCCAAATTACGATACAATTGTAAACATGTTAAGGTTACACATGTACAGAAAGAGCACCTAAATCAAAATCTCCATTGAGAGCACTATCACACCATTGCTCGAGCAAATTTTATACCAATGGGCTACTGGAAAGTGAACCACTAATACAAAAATCCATGACCAAACCTAAGACCACTTGTCTGAAGTTACTTGGAAGGTTTGAAGCAAGTTTACTTGGATTTGGTCTTTAGTTGAAGAATTAACCTGTAAAAAAAAAATCCATGACCAAACCTATGAGTTAGAGCACTAATAGAAGACTCCAAACCGAGAGCCAAAAGAAAGTACGAATAGCGACCACATCAATAGACCTGGATGAGTTTTGAATTTTTTTTTTTCTTTGTAGCTTATTACCTATTACAACCTCTTTCTAGCGCCTTTGATGTTTTATCCATATCACTATGGTTATAAACTTAAAAAAACATTAACAGAATTAAGAACAGAAGCAGGATAGCATCATCACTTTCTAAGAACAGCACATATGGAATAAAAGAAGACATGGAATTAAGAACACAGCACATATGGAATAAAAGAAGACATAATAATAGAGCGCACATTACATCTAAAAGGATTTGATGAATATAACCATCTCCATTGCCCAATGGTATATGACAAAAGTTTCCAATACTAACAAATTAAGGCTAGCATTTGCCATACAATTGACAATTATCATAAATCAAAACGTCAAAAAGATAGTGCAAAAAGAAGCTACTCCAGCAGCAGCAGAAACTCAACGCCAAGTATATGATCTTCACTTCATTGTGAGCTGTGACACCTGCTTTTCCACATCTGTACCAATGCATGAGCACGTTAGTAGGTAGTTCTCTCCTGAAGACACAAATTTACGCATGCCAAAAGCTGAAGTGAGGACACGAAAAGTTATGACTACATGCAGAGGCAAAAACGAAAACGCTCATAGGCTTCCCAGCCTTGACAGTCAAACGGGAAAAAAGGAAGTCAGGCATTATCTACCAGTCTACCAGATTTATCTACCTTGTGTTGTAGGTCCATCCTGAGGTTTTGCTTGTCCATCGTGAAGCTTGGCAGATTCCTCCTGAGGCTTTTTATTGCTGGATGGAGAAAAGAAAACTCAATAAAATGTGTGAATGTAATAAATAGTTGAATGGAAAAGCACATGAGATATGTCTTAGAAATGCAATAAGCCTCTTTATGGAACATTTCATTCTTGCTCTTTTTAGACCGTCGAATGATGACATTATATTCTATTCCACAAAGTCGCAACACAGACTTTAAAAAACCTGTGAAAACCGTATAGTTTCTGCATTTTCTACTTTCCACCAAGGCTACAAAGTACACAGCAAGTTAACTTAGATTATATCTTGAAAAAGCAACCCCTTCAGAACACCACCTATTCAGAACACAACCTATTTCTCCACTATAATAAAAGGGAAAAAAGGTTTTGGCAGCTTGAACCTTGCCGCAGACAAAAGCTTGATATTTTGATATGGATAAAGGGGAAGGCCCATTATCCACCGAGTTTTGAACCATTTGCCGCGGGCCCTCCGGCTTTTCTCGATTATCAGGAACAAGAAGAGGTGTTTATAGCTTTTCTTTCAAAGCTCCCAACTCATGCCAAGCAAGCATCAAACCACAGTTCAGGGCATTGTCCAATTTATAAAAGACGTAAGAATTCCCCCACAAATCCCTTGCCACTTAACAATGCAATATCATGTAACCCGCTCTTTTAAGGATATATCATCAAGCTGCTTTTAAAACCTGTGCTTCGTCTGACAATTCAACTCTCAAAGCAGCTTTAGAGGAGTCACCGAGGGATTTTAAGAGCTTCTAGCATCATTCATTCTTCTCTTAGTTATCAATATTATTCCACCAAATAGAGACTCAACTTCACATGCATAACGTAATGAAAAATATTTATCTATGAGAATTTTAAATATGTTTCACTGGCAGCTAACCCTTGCTCAAACATAAGATTATAACCGAAATTTATAAGCAAATTTTTCTTGTTTCCTACAGCTAAGCGGAGACCACGATTTAGCACCACCAAGAACAACCTAGTGAATTATTTTGAAAAGATTCCTCAAAAGTAGGTCACCCAAAGCCATTGCTTGGTCAATATTCATTAACATGGATATTATTTACAATCTATGATAGTGTTGTCCAGCGCAGCTTTCATGCGCCTCGACTATTGCACACGGGAAGTAACTCCACCTACCAAGACTAAAGATATTCAGTTGATCTATCAGTTTACTAGGTTTAATATCACACTAATGTCCGCAAATATCATTCAAAGGACAGAATGGAGCAAATATTTACCTTTCCTTGGAAGGTGGCTCATCCTGTGGTTTCATGGCTGGAAAGAGTAGAACTTCCTGTTGAACAAATTATAACAAGGGAAAGAAAAAAAAGATTTCAGTATCTAATTTAAATGATAGGAAACACTAGCTTCCTCAAAACGAAATGACAATAAAAGGAGAGTGAGCGAAAATGCAAAGATAACACTAAGCTGGTAAATGACCAGCCCTACCCTAGTGGCCTGTTCTCCGAATGCCTCCTCTCCATCCATTTAGAAATAGATGTGAAACAGAACATCAAAAGAATTAATTGGAACTGAATGGCCATTTCATCCTAACTAAACCCCAAAAGCTAGCTCATAAGGTGAGAATTGTCTGAAATCGTATAACGAGACAATCCATTTTCTGAACCAATGTCAGATATTGTAAGCTCCCCAGATGCCTAGAGTTGGACATCTGGAACAGGGACAGCATGGTGACCCACCATTGGATAAACCAAGAACACCCATTATTCTGGCTCTGGCTTTGATACCGCGCCAAAAAAAATATACATTGGGCTTAACTCAGTCTCATGAGGTGAGGATTGTCTAAGTCCTAATAGGAAACATGATAGCATCACTGAAAGGATAGAGTTTTGGAAGTTCCAAGAAGGCCATTTACAAGATCTCAAGCTAAAGAATTGCAGACTAAGGTTGTTGGACTTCAATGGCAAATAAAGAAGCTTCTAACTATAGAAGAAGTGCTCAAGCCCAAAGGAGAAGAATTGTCTAGTTTTTACAATTATTTGGTGGCTCAAATTGAAGTGAGGAGGAAGATTGGGTCGCCCAAATCAGCCCCTGAAGTCCACCAAATGGGCTCAAAATAAGCTTAAAAGAGGTCCAAAAGGAGGTGTTACAAAAGGAGCCCAATTGGAGTCCAAACCAATGGCCAAACTAGTTGTTTTAAGGCCCAAATCTGCCCCAAAGGGTCTTGGCCGCTCCCCACCTAATTTTAATGACTTTTTTACTCTTTAGCAACCACCCTACCTAATTGTAATGACTTTGTATGCCTTAGCAACCACCCTACCTAATTTTAAGGACTTTTTATGCCTATATCATACTTTGAGAGTTCTTTTGACCTTTGTTACTTGTGCTTTGAGATTTATCTTTCAACCTTTACTAGTTCATAGTTCAAGGTAGTAAGATTACTTCTCTTTTATGATATCTTTGATTCCTTTTGCGGTATTCTTAGAAGGCGATTAATACTAGTTATTAATTGTTGTCCCAAGTTACTCGTAAAGCGGTCAAGATCCGAATCTATTGTTTTGATTTGCTTTTTAAGTAAAGGCGTTTAATTTCTTCCATAAATCAAGACGTTGTTACTTTGATCTTGTCAAGGCTATAGAACTTGCGTTCTTGGAAGTTCTTGGAATTCTTTCCTTGAATTTTTCCCATATCCTTTATTTCATCTCTTTAATTCTAGTTGTTCAATTCCTTGCTGTTATTGCTTCCGCATTTACTTCTCAAATTCTTAATCTAGTTTGGATTCCCGACCTAGTTGTTATCAAGTGGTATCAGAGCGGTTCTATCAAGATTTCGTTCTTGATAATTCTTGGGATATCTTGAATACTAAGAGCAAAGAAAAAAAAGAATTAACAAAAAAAACAGAAGAAAAAAAAACCAAAATCAGTTTTAAAAAAATACAATTGCTTGCTCTCCAGGATATATCTTTCGTATCTAATTTGTTTCAAAAAATTAACAAAGGAAACAAGAAGAGGGAATCCTTGATTTTCTTACTCTTTCTAATCTACATATTTATTTATATCCTTTCCTTTTTGTTCGTGTCTTGTTTCAACCGAGCCTAAAAGTTCTAGGATTTGGTTCTTTTTTTTGTTCCCAAAAAAATCTGAATTTTACTACTAAGAACTTCATACAAGTTGGGTTTAACTATAAATCTACAAAGTATTTTGTTCAAAGGTTATTCCGAGAGAGAAAAAAAGAAGAAGCTAATTTGTGTGATACAGTTTATTTTTATTAAAGATGTCGCATACAGGTAGTGATGATGAACGAAGGGTTCTCCAAGAAGCCGAAATCAAAGCAAAAAATGATTTTACCTTGCAAGCTATGCATCAACAATTTGAAAGGTTGAATTTGCAACTCCAAGAAATGAGGGATACCATTGCTGATCAAAATGATACAATAGCCCCAAGCTAGGAGAAATGTACCCCATGCTCCCATTGTAAATCAAGAAAACCTTATAGATGATTTTAATGATATTGATTTTGATAGGGTGGGAAGAGATAGGAGGGGACAAAGAGGTAGAGTAGAAGATGATAATACAAGTAGTATAAATATGAAGATGCCATCTTTCAACGGAACAAGGGATCCAGACTTGTACCTTGATTGGGAGAGAAAGGTTGAAGCCATCTTTGATTGTCACAACTACTCTGAAGGTAAGAAGGTTAAACTTGTTGTTATTGAGTTTTCTGACTATGCTGCTATTTGGTGGAAAAAGCTTACTAGGGACAGATTGCAAGAAGGACGAGCACAAATTGCTACTTGGGCTGAGATGAAGAGAGTGATGAGGAAGAGATTCGTACCACCACACTTCCAAAGAGAGCTACAACAACGTCTTCAAACATTGAAGCAAGGGTCCATGTCTGTGGATGAGTACTTTAAGGCTATGGATATGGCTATGATCCAAGCTAATTGTATGGAGGAAGAAGAGGCCACAATAGCTAGGTTTTTCAATGGTTTAAATAAGGAAATAGCTGATGTAGTAGAATTACAACAATATGTAACAATAGATGAGTTAGTTGATTTGTCTATAAAGGTAGAAAATCATTATAAAAGAAAGCAAACTAGCTCGTGGAAAGGTCGGACAAGCACCATGTCCAAGAAGCCATGGCCAAATCATGAGATGAAGAGTTCTTCTAGACCTCAAGAAGACAAGGGAAAAGGTAAATTTGAGAACAAAGAGGGAGGTAAAACCTTTAACCCTAAACCTTTTAAACCTTCTAGTTCTATTCAATGTCATAAATGTAAAGGAAGGGGACATATGATGCATGAATGTCCAAGTAGAAGAAACATCATTCTAAAAGAAGATGGAGGATATGAGAGTGAAAAAAGTGAGGGAGAAGAAGAGGGAGATGTGAGTGATGAAGATGATGTAGAACTACCTAATGATGGCATGTTATGACTATCAATTTGGGAAGCAATGGTGAAGAACAAAGAGAGAATATATTCCATACTAGGTGTGGGATAAAGGTTGCTCATGATCATTGATAGTGGTAGTTGTGCTAATTTGGTGAGTTCATACTTTGTGGAAAAATTGGGACTTGCATGCCTGAAACACCGACTCCAATTGTTAAATGATAGTGGTGAACTAAAGGTAAACAAACAGTGTATGATTTCATTTAATGTTGGTAGATATGAGGATGATATTCTTTGTGATATAGTACCTATGCAAGCTTGTCATATATTATTGGGTCGTCCTTGGCAGTATGACAGGAATGTTTTTCATGATGGAAGAAAGAATAGATATTCTCTTGAACTAAATGTCAGGAAATTTACTCCTGCACATTTATCTCCTTATCAAGTGTTTGAAGATCAAAAGAGATTAAGAGAAACAATGGGAAAACCAAGGGGAGGGATAAAAAGTGAGCTTGAGGAAAAAGAAAAGAAAGGAGGCCAAGAATTAGAAAAAAAGAGAGAGGCCGAGAGAAAGAGAGAGAGGGCAGCAATTTGAGAGAAGAGATAAAAAGGGGTTCGAGTGAAAAAAAAGAAGGTCTTGGTGAGTGGAAAGAGGCTAAGGAAAGAAAAAAAAGAGAGTTTCTATATAAAAGCCAAAGAGTGTTTAAATGCAAGAAAAGAGGGGTTGCCCATAATACTACTTACTTACAAAGAAGCTTTGATTAATTCTGAGTTACTAACTTCTTCTTTGCCAAGTAGTATTTCTTCTCTTATGCAGGATTTTGAAGATGTCTTTCCAGTAGATATTCCTTATGGATTGCCACCTTTACGTGGCATTGAGCATCAAATTGATTTTGTGCCTGGATCACAAATCCCAAATAGGCCAGCCTATAGGAGTAATCCAGAAGAGACAAAAGAACTTCAAAGGTAAGTTGAGGAGTTGCTTGAGAAAGGCTTTGTGAGAGAGAGCATGAGCCCTTGCTCTGTTCCCGTCCTATTGGTACCAAAAAAGGATGGAACTTGGAGGATGTGCGTGGATTGTAGAGCAATCAACAAGATAACGGTAAAGTATGGCCACCCTATTCCTCGTCTTGATGACATGTTGGATCAATTACATGGATCCAAAATCTTTTCTAAAATTGATCTAAAAAGTGGTTACCATCAGATTCGAATGAATCCTGGAGATAAATGGAAAACTGCTTTTAAGACCAAATATGGGCTTTATGAGTGGTTAGTTATGCCTTTCGGCTTGACTAATGCACCTAGCACTTTCATGAGATTAATGAATCATGTTTCTAAGGATTTTCATGGAAAATTTGTTGTGGTGTACTTCGATGAAATCTTGGTCTTTTCTAACACTTTAGAAGAGCATGTAGAACACCTAAAACAAGTTTTTGAAGTTCTTAGAAAGCAATTTTTATTTGCTAATCTTAAAAAGTGTACTTTTTATGTGGATCGTGTGATTTTCTTGGGTTTTATAGTTAGTTCTAAAGGAGTTGAGGTTGATGAAGAGAAAATCAAAGCAATAGGCCTAAACCTAAGAGTGTAACTGAAGTTAGGAGTTTTCATGGACTTGCTAGTTTTTATAGGAGGTTTATGAGAGACTTTAGCACCATTTCTTCTCCTTTAACTGAAGTTATTAAAAAGGATAAGATTTTTAAATGGGGAAAAGAACAAGATGATGCTTTTAACTTGTTGAAAGAAAGGTTATGTTCTGCTCCATTGTTACAATTGCCTGATTTTTCTAAATCTTTTGAAATTGAATGTGATGCTTCTGGCAAAGGAATAGGTGTTGCTTTGATGCAAGATTCTAAACCTATTGCCTACTTTAGTGAGAAGTTAGTGGAACCACATTGAACTATTCCACTTATGACAAAGAGCTATATGCTTTGGTAAGGGCTTTAGCCACATGGCAACATTACTTGTGGCCAAGAGAGTTTGTCATTAAAACTGACCATGAATCCTTAAAATACTTGAAGAGTCAAGGTAAGCTTAGTAGAAGGCATGCTAAGTGGGTTGAATTCATTGAAACTTTCCCTTATGTAATTTCTTACAAACAAGGGAAAGAGAATGTTGTTGCTGATGCACTTTCAAGGAGGTATGTCTTACAAAAATTGATGGGTTTTGATCAAATCAAGGGACTTTATACTAATGATGTTGATTTTGACAAAAATTTTGCAGATTGTAAGTTGGGTCCTTTTGAGAGGTTTGACCTCCAAGATGGGTTTTTATTTAAGGAAAATAAGTTGTGTATCCCTAATTGCTCTTTAGGTGAAGTTTTTGTAAGGGAAGCACATTGTGGAGGCCTTATGGGACACTTTGGAGTCCCAAAGACATTAGACATACTTGCTGAAAATTTCTTTTGGCCTGGAATGAGAAAAGATGTTGAAAGAATGTGCACACGGTGTTTGGAATGTAAACAAGCTAAATCTAAAGTGTTACCACATGGTCTTTACACGCCATTACCTGTTCCTACTTCACCTTGGATTGATATTTCTATGGATTTTGTGTTAGGTTTGCCTAGAACAAGGTATGGTAAGGATAGTATATTTGTTGTGGTAGATAGGTTCTCCAAAATGGCTCGTTTTATTTCTTGTTTAATGACTAATGATGTTTCACATGTTGCTGATCGTTTTCTAAAAGAGGTTGTCAAATTGCATTGTATACCAAGAACCATTGTTAGTGATAGGGATGCTAAGTTTTTGAGCCACTTTTGGCGTGTATTTTGGGGGAAGTTAGGTACTAAATTGTTGTTTTCTACTTCGTGTCACTCACAAACTAATGGACAAACTGAAGTAGTTAAGGGCTGTTTTGAAAGGTAAATTAACTTCGTGGGAAGATCACTTACCTATGATTGAATTTGCTTACAATAAAACAATCCATTCTTCTACAGGTATGTCTCCTTTTGAGGTTGTTTATGGCTTTAATCCCTTTACCCACTTGATTTATTACCATTACCTACTAATGATATTGCTAATCTTGATGGTATGACAAAGGCTGAGATGATGGAAAAAATTCATGAGCAAACAAGGGTTGCAATTGGGAAGAAAAATGAGCAAACTGCCTTGAGAAAGAATAAGGGTCGAAAACAAGTTATTTTTAAACCTGGAAATTTAGTTTGGATTCACTTTAGAAAGGAGAGATTTCCTTCCAAAAGGAAGTCAAAGCTGCATCCTAGAGGAGATGGCCCCTTTCAAGTCCTTGAAAGGATTGGAGACAATGCTTACAAGCTGGACCTTCCTGGTGAGTTTCAAGTAAGTGTTACATTCAATGTTGCTGACTTGTCTTTGTTTAACGTAGGATCGAATTCAGGGACGAATTCTTTTCAAAAAGAGGGGAATTACAGCATCACTGATAAGGATAGAGTTTTGGAAGTTCCAAGAAGGCCATTTACAAGATCTCAAGCTAAAGAACTGCAGACTAAGGTTGCTGGACTTCAATGGCAAATAAAGAAGCTTCTAACTATAGAAGAAGTGCTCAAGCCCAAAGGAGAAGAATTGTCTAAGTTTTACAATTATTTGGTGGCTCAAATTGAAGTCCAAGAGGAGGAAGATTGGGTCACCCAAATCAGCCCTTGAAGTCCACCAAATTGGCTCAAAATGAGCTTAAAAGAGGTCCAAAAGGAGGTGGTACAAAAGGATCCCAATTGGAGTCCAAACCAATGACCAAAACTAGTTGTTTTAAGGCCCAAATCTGCCCCAAAGGGTCTTGGCCGCCCCCCACCTAATTTTAATGACTTTTCTTACTCTTTCGCAACCACCCTACCTAATTGTAATGACTTTGTATGCCTTAGCAACCACCCTACCTAATTTTAAGGACTTCTTATGCCTTAGTACTCCTATAAATAGGGAGTTCTTCTCATTCATAAGACACTACATTATTGATTAAGTATATCATACTTTGGGAGTTCTTTTGAACCTTTGTTACGTGTGCTTTGAGATTTATCTTTCAACCTTTACTAGTTCATAGTTCAAGGTAGTAAGATTACTTCTCTTTTATAATATCTTTGATTCCTTTGTGGTTTTTTTAGAAGGCGATTAATACTAGTTATTAATTGTTGTCTCAAGTTACTCGTAAAGCGGTCAAAATCTAAATCTATTGTTTTGATTTGCTTTTTAAGTAAAGGCGTTTGATTTCTTCCATAAATCAAGACGTTGTTACTTTGATCTTGTCAAGGCTATAGAACTTGTGTTCTTGGAAGTTCTTGAAATTCTTTCCTTGAATTTTTCCCATATCCTTTATTTTCATCTCTTTAATTCTAGTTGTTCAATTCCTTGTTGTTATTGCTTCCGCATTTACTTCTCAAATTCTTACTCTAGTTTGGATTCCCGACCTAGTTGTTATCAAAACAACAACCCATTCCCTCAGCCAAAGTGGATACTCTTAACATTCCGAGATAGAGTGGAACTAAGTGGTCATTCCTTACTAACAAAGAAAACAAGTGAAGGCACAAACCTTGATGTTTTGTGAATCTGTTAACAACATTGCAAGTCGGTCAATACCCAATCCCCAACCACCAGTAGGAGGTAATCCATATTCAAGAGCTGTACAAAAGTTCTCATCCAGTGCCATAGCTTCATCGTCACCTGATTGTCGGTCCTGAATTGACATTAATCATGCTAAAATAAGTAGTGGCGCATAATAGAAATGACACAACAAGATGAACACAGCACAAACACAACAACCAAATCAGGATGCAGTCTTCCCACAGATACCAACAAGATGAACACAGCACAAACACAACAACCAAATCAGGATGCAGTCTTCCCACAGATACCTTGAGTTGATCAGCAAAACGCTGGCGTTGGACAACAGGGTCATTCAATTCAGTGTATGCATTGCAAAGCTGTCAAGTTATTTAACAGAGAAGAAGCACATTACAGCTTGTATTGGGAGTGCTAAAAACAGTTTGAAAGACTTGACAGAATACATACTTCATGCTTGTTAATAAACAATTCAAAACGTTCTGTCAGGCCTGGTTTCGATCTATGCCACTTTGCCAAAGGACTCATTATCTCTGGATGGTTGATGATAAAAGCAGGGTTAACACATGTCTCCTCCAGAAAGTGCCCTACAAGCTGAATTCACAACAAAGAAGAAGGAGAATTATTAGCAATGTTAGAAAGCTTCTTAGGTGAAAAAACTGGTAATAAATAGCAGTAATATAGTGCCAAAAGAATGAAAACACCGACTCCCATAAATACATGTTTTTTGAAGTATCACCAATAAATGTACAACAGGAAATAACTTTAAACATTTCTGGAGATGATATGCAAAAAGGCAAACATACAGCAAAATGATTCACATATTACTCAAAGTTAGATGCAAAAAAGCAGGCATACACCAAATTGATTCACAACCAATTTAACAATGAGGCTCCAACTAGGGATATCATATTTAACGATTCACGAAAATCCCTATTGCCAATAACACATAATACAAAATAAATGACACAAATATTGCAGGATATTAACACTAAGATAGCACTAAAATGCCAGCAATCCTTTTCATCTCTATTTATTTCTTCTAACATATGATAGGTCGCATTCCTCTTTTTTTTTAAACATTTTCTTTTTTGGTCTAATTTTTCCACACTGCCCTCCCTCTTTCTTTACCCTAACCTTCTGCTGCATCATGTAGGGGTTCTCGTGGAGAGAACAGAAGTGGATGTCCTCGTCCATAAGAACCCTTTTCCTCTATTCATCTGAAGCCAAAGCCCCGAAACTGAAAAAGATTCCTGAGCATCACAATATTGCACTAGACACATAAGACAAGTTTCTAGATTGCATCTGTAAGAATTGGCTACAAGAAGAGATAAGGAAAAAAATACTTTATCAAGTAATCTAGCTGTTGTTTGAGGAGGAGGACATTTGATCTCAAGCTTTGCACAAGCGTCTATGAGATATTTGTTAGCTTCAACACTTGAGAGATCCTTGGGTATATTCAAGTTTGCAACCTTCTCCAATTCCTCTACCATATCAATCCGTCTGCAGAAGCAAACAGCATAAGTATCTTGGTGCATTGAAAACAAAAGCAGAACACGACATAATAGAAGAGCTTCCAAACCTGAAGGGAGGAGTGAAGTCAATCTCAATGGGGTCATTCTCCAGCCCCTTTGCATGATACTTGATTATATAGCCACCTGTAAGTTCCTTCACCATCCCTGTTCATGTATAGTTAGTAAGATAAACTATAACAGAATAAATAAAACGAAAAGACTAAATATACATAAGCTTCCACTACAATATTTGGATCCCAGTTTTTTGGTACTGACCACTTAGCATTTTTTCAGTTAGATCCATCAAGTCATTGTAATCCGCATATGCCATATAGAACTCGCAAGTGGTGAATTCAGGATTGTGTGTCAAGTCAATTCCCTCATTTCTGAATTGTTTCCCAATCTCATAGACACGATCCAATCCACCAACAACCAGCTCTTTAAGATATAGTTCAGGAGCAATACGCATGAAAAGCCTCATATTCAAATCATTGTGGTGGGTCACAAATGGGCGTGCAGCTGCTCCACCAGCAATCATGTTCATCATGGGGGTCTCTACCTGTTACAAATAGGATTATGTATTTTAACTAATTTTATTCAAGCTAAGCTCGTAATCTCAAATGAAAAAAGGTAAAGTAAAACAACTTCATAAACACTGACCTCTAAGAAGTCACGATTATCAAGAAAGCTTCGAATATAAGTTATGATCTTTGCTCGGGTCTTAAATATGTACCGAATCTCTGAGTTCAACATCAAATCCAAATAACGCTGTCTATATCGTGTTTCCTGGACGTAAAGAATAAATGAGCCACAACACAACAGAGGCATAAAATCTTTTAAAAGGAAATAGGAAGAAAGCAAGGCAATTCACAAAAGAAACTTTATGAAGAAAATAAAGGCATACCTGATCTTTCAAAACATATGTATCTGGATTTCGGCCACTTCCCGGGACCCATGCTTCAATTTTCTGCAGTACAATCAGATACCGTTCAATTAAACTGGTCTTAGACACAATGCAAAAAAAATTAGCTGACCTTAGTCGTATCCGTCTGGGCACCTTTCTGCCGTGGCATCATATGAAGACAATGAGACAACACTTCGAATGATTTGGGAAAAATACTCAGCTCTCCCCGTTTACTCTTTCCTGATGAATGAGGTAAGAAGAATTAGAAGAATATATTACTAAAACAAACATCAGTATTATCCTCTTCTGCAGCCTGGGATCTTTGCATAAACTACACACCATGTCAAGAAAGATATTCACCTAGAAATTGTGGTGCAGACAATAGTATTCGAAGTGAGAAACTATGGCAAAACCCAGAATCCTAAGTGCACGTAAACACAAGAAATGTTTTATATTCAACATTAATGCTGAAATGATATCTGTTTATAGCTTTTTACTAGTCCTTTGAGTTCTTATAAGGAGGAACTTTGTACAACTAAGCTATTCTAGAAATTTTTGGCCTATGACTGAAGTAACAGTGAGGCGTGAGAGTACAGCAATACAGGATACCACCATAATGACTTTTCTAAGATTCAGGGATTGCAGGATAAGTTAACACCTTTTTGTTTTCAGTACCTTTCTCCTATATTAATCTATGGTGCTTAAGCATGTGAAGGAGTGATAATGAGAGCAACTTTTCTCTTCCAGCGAAACTTGTTTTTCTAACACCATGACCAAATCTATCACAGAGAATATCTGACATAAACTAAGAAGACCTAGCGAATCCCAAACCTGGACACCCAGTAATTCCGACAATATCTCCACGCTTCACACCAGAATGAAATTTAATAAACGCGTCTTCATTCAATTCAGAATCCCTGCACATACATCAAAACGTAATACTTCTCAGTGATAAAAAGTAACTTGATCACTTAAGCAATTCAACAAACACAAGGGTCTTAAGACCAGAATTTCACAACAACGCACTGAAACTGTTGATGATGCCACTGATTCAGCCATGAAGTTTCAAACATGTTATAATCACATTTACAGAATATTGGTTTATGCATTTCCTAGATCTATAGCCTATGGTACAAAAACAAAAGGATAACAAAGATCAAATACCTCCCTTTGGCTCCAACGGACAACTATTCCCAAAAGGCACTTACTAGGTTGTCTTGGCCATTTACGGCTTTTTTGTTATAGATTCAAATAAATATAAGGACCAATTAAGATAAAGATATAAAGTTGTAAGAATGCATCCCAGGAGGAACTGGATGCCTCGAAGTTCTGAATAGAACTATAACAGATGCTGTAATTTTTCTAGGAAGATTGAAGGAGATTTATGTAAAGAAGGAGAAATATCTCCCCCCCCCCCCCAAATACTGACCAAGAGAAAGCATATGATAGAGTACCACAAAGTCCTTTAATGATGATGAAGAAGAAAGTGTTCATATGAAATATATAGTATGTAGCACTGAGCACGCACACTGGAAGCTCATCCACCTATTCTTGGCATAAATTAAACCCAGAAAGCAGCAAAATGATAGAGTAATATAACCACCTCGCACTTGCCATAACTTGAACTTTGGCACCTCCACCATGTAAATCATAGAAAAGCAGCTTTGCAGAAGACGCGCGTTTATTCATTATCCTTCCTGCACAAAAACCACAATTATAGCACAAAAACCACAATTATAGACGCAAGTTTTTTATTTTAAAAAACTAAGCAAAATGCTGTAATATTTACCAGCCAACGACACTTCATCAGCGGAATGAGCTCCGCTCTCTAAAACTCCATATTTCTTCACATAATCAGGGATAGACAACAATTCAACTTTGTGTTCGAATTTGTGTGGGTAAGGATTCTTCCCGGTTGCCTTCTCAGCCTCAAGTGCTTTCAGCCTATTTTCAAAGTATTGCTGCAAACCAAACCCCCAATTAATTTCAGAATTCTGGGATGTGCTTTCTTGGAATATATCCAAAAAGAAAAAACTTGACAAATATCCACCTCTTACTCTTTAGCAATCTAACACTTAAAACACTATTGTCAACTTTTAACACTGGAAAAATATCACAAAAAATTCCCTGTATCCTTATCATTCTTATAAACTAACAAATATGACCTATTTTTATACCCAAAAAAATCTACAACATTTTTTTCAGAAAAAAATTACTGCATAACCAAAAACCAAAAAGTTAATAGAAAAGGGGAAATGGAGTCACCGTTGGATCCATGTCCTCATCACCGGCTGCAGCATGCTTTTGAGACTGAGTGCTTGGCTTGTTTTCAGATTTCCCTTTCTTTTCAGCCTTCCCCTTGTTTTCAGATTTCGCCTTGTTTTCTGGGTTCTCCATTTTGACTCCGACGAGAAGAATTAAACTCTGTTGCGCTGAAACAGAGTACCTTAAATGGGGATATGGCTTTATGGAGGCTAGGGTTTAAGCGATACGTCTTTTTTTCCTTTTAATAAATTAAGATTTAAATTATTCTTAAACTAGTAAAATATGTTGACAACAAAAATTAACGGTCTCAGGTAACAATGTACAAATTACAAGCTAATATTTTACCTCAATCATATAATGGCAATGTACCCAAATTACTCTTATACACCTATTAGCTACGGGGATAATATTACACACTCAAACCTTTTAAAAATGTATCAATAATACACCACTTTAACTATATGGCATCTGCGTGTTCTTCACATAACACAGGCACGTAATGCTAACAAAGGTTTATAAAGAATCCACTTGTCTAATTTTTAATTGTTTTTTTCCTTTTTACGCCAATTAACAAATTTAAAAAAATAAAAAATAACCCCTCCCACTCTTGTCTTCTTCCCCGCTCCAACCCCCACCCCGCGTCTTCTTCCTAGTTCCAAACCTCCCCATCTCCATTATATTCTCTAGATGCCCTTACCTCTTCGTCTCCCCTCCCCACCCCCAGGTTTCGTCTCCCCTCCCCTATTTCGTCTTCTTCCCCGATTCAACCTTCTCTTATTTCATTTTCTTTTGGTTGCTCAAGATTCGAAATTTCTTCGAAAATTTCTTGGTGGTAGTTATGTCAGTGAGAAGGGCAGAATTGGAGAAGAAATTAAGTTTTCAATTTCTTGTTTTGGAATTTTGTTGACAAAGTGGTCTTTGTGGTTCTTTCAATTGTGCCAAATAAAGAACTAATTTTTTCCTTTTCGTTATTTTCTTCTGGCTCACCATTATTGAGTTTTGTGAAAAAGAAGAGATAATACCAGAATGAAGGGTTGGTCGGAGATGGAGTTTCAAGCGAAATTCGGCCAGTGAAGTTTTTTTGGATATGTTATTTGTGTATATCTATTTGAGTGTTACAACTAGTATTTTTGTGGTAACTATGGCAGAATATTTTTTTTACAAAGAAGAAGGGTTTGCAATGGTAGAGAAGGTGGTGCAGTGGTGGGGAAGGTGGTGCACTGATTGTTTGGTTTTTTTATTTGAGTGGGTCAGACCTTTAAAAGGGTTGGGTGATTAAAAGAGTCCTTTTAATTTAGAGACGCACGCATGATACACAATATAAACTATTACTTGGGGAACAAGACGATAGAGGATTAGACTATGCTTTGATGCCACTTGATAACAATACGATAGAGGATTCAAGAATTACTAAAGAAAAAATAAGAAGAAAATAAAGAAACAAAAAAGGACGGAAAATTAAAGAAAGATTGAATTCAAGAAAGAGTTTCTTGAATTCAAGAAGCTTATTCTTGAAGTTGAATTCTAATAACAACAATTAGCTAACAAATAACTAATTACCTTTGGTAGAGAATTAAAAACAAGAGATAGATTGTGAAACCCGACCCTTTAGAATAACAAGAACAACAATAAGCCTAAACTTATCACCTCTTGAATACCTAGAAGTGATCTAAGATTTCGAAAGAGTTTAATCTTACCACCTTAAGTTGAGTCTTGAAGGTTGAAGAATAAATCCAATAGTAGCCACACACAAGAGTACAAGAAAAATCTCACAATTTTTATTGATAATAGCCTGAATAATCTAAAAGCAAAGAAAATACCCCTATATACCCCTTTATATAGGGAAGGGGTCACGAAATTCTACCTAAAAAAATAAGGAAATAAAGTCCTGAACTACTTTGGACAACAAGTCCAACTACCATAGGAAAAGGTAAAACTCTAGGAAATAAAAACCAAGTCAATCTTGGAAAGTAATTCCAATAATCTTAGGAAAAGAAAAATAACACCTTAACTCCCTAGGAAATCATCAAATATGTCCTAACAAACTAGGAAACAAAATAAGGAACTTTGACTTCTTCTCATATGTTATGGCCGCCCCTCCTTGAGCTGACTTGGGCGCCAAGTTGGCTCATTTGTGAGTTGACCTAGGCGCCTATTTTAGGCCCTCCTTGACTGGTGCTTGGACCATAATCTACCTCTTCGTGGACTTGGACTTGGACCATAAAATTAGTGGAGAGGTTGTGTTGAATAAAGAGAGTGGAATGTCAAGGAAGGAAAAGAGTGAGCTTGAGAGGAAAGAAAAGAGAGAAGGCCATGAGATAGAAAAAGACTTTGAGGTAGAGAGAAAGAAAAAAGATGGTTTGAGTGAAGAAAAAGAAGAAAACCTTGGTGAGAGAGAAGAGGATAAGGACGAGGAAAAAGTTAGTTTTGTGATAAAATCCAAAGAGAGTGTAAGCAAGAAAAAAATTTCCTTACTTCCTAACCCATTAACTCTTTATTGTTTTAATCCTTGTGATTTTGTGCAGCCAAGTGTTGACAGACCTTTTGAAAGGGGAAATAAAGTGCAAGAGATGGTGGCAAAAGATCCAATGGATTCCAACATGAATTTGGCGATATCTATTCTTGTTGGATGGTGGAAGATAAAAGCTTGGTTAAGTTCTTTGTTGCTGAATCTTTTAATCCTTATTTACAAGTTTATAATATGGAGTTCCCTAAAGACATTGCTAAGTTAGAGCCATTGCATCAAAAAATCAAAGGTGATGTTGTTCCATTAGTAAATAAGTCCAAGTATGGTATGTATAATTGGTTTATTCACATTCTTCGCCATTCTAGAACACCTAAGGTATTTCTTGAGGTAATGAACAATACTCTTATTTCTTATGTTGGTGACTTTATAATTTTTGTGGATGATGATATTTTGATGCATATAAAGTCACTAACTATAATATCTATGTTCAAGTGCAAGAGTAATTTGATTCCTTTTGAAATTAAGTATGACATAGATGATTATGTGTTCGAACTTGGTGGAAAGAGGCATGAAATTTATGAGAAGAGACTTGGAAATGAGTTTTCATGTGATAAATTGCTAGAATGTGAGTTTTGTTGTGTGATAGGAAGTCATTCTTCTAGTCATGTTGATTGTGAGCATGTAAAAGTATTTGATACTAGTAAAGAGGCTATGCATGATTATTGTGACGTCAGTGATCAAATGCTCTTTCATCATCTTATGTATGACTCTTTCCGTGACACTTTGAGCAATTGTTTAGAATCCTTTGATATTGAGAATATGATAGCATCACTGATAAGGATAGAGTTTTGGAAGCTCCAAGAAGGCCATTTACAAGATCTCAAGCTAAAGAATTGCAGGCTAAGGTTGCTGGACTTCAATGGCAAATAAAGAAGCTTCTAACTATAGAAGAAGTGCTCAAGCCCAAAGGAGAAGAATTGTCTAAGTTTTACAATTATTTGGTGGCTCAAATTGAAGTCCAAGAGGAGGAAGATTGGGTCACCCAAATCAGCCCTTGAAGTCCACCAAATGGGCTCAAAATGAGCTTAAAAGAGGTCCAAAAGGAGGTGTTACAAAAGGAGCCCAATTGGAGTCCAAACCAATGATCCAAACTAGTTGTTTTAAGGCTCAAATCTGCCCCAAAGGGTCTTGGCCGCCCCCCACCTAGTTTTAATGACTTTTCTTACTCTTTAGCAACCACCCTACCTAATTGTAATGACTTTGTATGCCTTAACAATCACCCTACCTAATTTTAAGGACGTTTTATGCCTTAGTACTCCTATAAATAGGGAGTTCTTCTCATTCACAAGTCACTATATTATTGATTAAGTATATCATACTTTGAGAGTTCTTTTGAACCTTTGTTACTTGTGCTTTGAGATTTATCTTTCAACCTTTACTAGTTCATAGTTCAAGGTAGTAAGATTACTTCTCTTTTATGATATCTTTGATTCCTTTGTGGTATTCTTAGAAGGCGATTAATACTAGTTATTAATTGTTGTCTCAAGTTACTCGTAAAGCGGTCAAGACTCGTAAAACACTTCACGTTCCACAAAACGCCTTCGGTTCCAGGATCTTAACCTTGGAACGTTCTTCACTGCTCTCGCCAAAACTAGCCAAAGCCTTTCATAGAACAACAATTTCCAGATTAAGAGTTTCATTTTCATTTTTTAGATCTTCAACCTGAACATTCGTAGCCTCACACGTTTGTTGAACAGTATCATGAAACTAATTCAACCATGCCTTTAGACGACACATCTTAGTAATTAGATCTTCCAAATCCAAAGGATCGTTAGTCACACTGATCAGTGTCTCCAACTTCTGCACACGAACACGTAAGTCTGAAGTGGAGTTTCCTCCGGCCATGGTCCCGAATCGCGAGCAAAGCTCTGATAACGGTTGTTACAGGGCCAATTTTTTGCAAACGGCACTGCACGGCAGTAGCCTGACACTCAAGCCACTCAGCCTTACTTTTTACCTCACAATTTAGGACTTAGAATATTTTCAGACTTGTAAAATGAAAGCAACACATACAATTAAACATTCAGCCTTTTATTATTCTCACAGAATATACAAAGGAACTCAATTGGAAGGCTCAAATTTGCTAACTTGCTTTAGCCAACGAAATACAAAACATATAAAAGGGCTGCCAATGGTAGGTTACAAGTGGAGCAGTTACAAAGGGGCAGTTACAAGGGTGTGCCTGGCATATACCAAGCCTATAAACAAGCACAAAGCACTTAGCCACTATCTGAAGAACTTCCCACGAAATGAGCCTATCTCAGTGTTACACCCCATATTTTTGTACGTGAAGGTACGCTATAAGTAAATCGATGGAAGCTCGGAAAATGAGATGTTACATCCTGCATTTTCGTATGTTAAAGTTTCGTCGTAAGTTAATCGATGTAAGTATGGGAATGAGATTATTTTGAAGATTATAAGCATTATGTTATTTCAAACAAGTGATAAGTAAATTTGTGAAGGTAAGAAATCGAAGAAAATGAATTTCGTCGAAGTTTGTCATTTGGGGATAAAATACGGCCCAAGATGAAATACCTGGTATTTATAGACTAGTATCATACAAGATACCACATGACCATGAATGTAAGGTGTACAAAGTGTGTTAAAAGTGAGTAGTATTTTAAGTAATTTGATATAATTCCTAATTATGTGGATTATTGGGTAATGAAAATTACCTAGTTAATTAAGGAATTGATT